CCGATTCCCTCACATGGCCCGCTGCTAAGTGATCGGCAAAGAACTTGTCGATCGCTATCACTTGTTCACGAGGCAGTGGCCACTGCTTCATGACACAGTACTTCGAGCCCGGTCTGAGCTCGATCTTGTGTCGAGTGCCTTTGTCCTTAGGCAAATCGCAAGGTACTGATATAGGGAACACATCCCTGAATTCGATCATATCATATACAGAAGATTTGCCTGAAGTGACTCCCAGGATTGGGACGCGTATCGCTCAATCCGAGTCTTCTCATCGAGGACACTTTCGTCCATCGATAAGCTGCTGAGAGCCCGCTCGTTCTCAGCAAATACTGTTGCCGACCGAATATCGGCCACACATCATCATCCTCTGTGACGAGTATGCAGATCTGCTTGACTTTGCCACTACGCAGATCACGCAAGAACCGTTTAGGTTCTAGCGTTGGCAACTGAGTTATCTCCGAAGTTAACTTCGAAGGCACAATCGGGTCAAGCGTGTAAGCGTCTACGCTTGATCCGTCATTAACCAAGATGTTCAACGTCTCGGTTACCTCCTGGGAAATCACTTCCACAGGGTGCTGAGGGCTAATCCCTCAGAAGCGACTCTGAGGAATTCCTTCCTCAAGTACGTGGGGACTTATTCCCTCGAGTCTTCTGACTGGGTGTGCAACCACAGTCAGGGAGCGTCTCTCTACGGTCGACTCTCCAGTCGACCTAGGATTTCCATGTTGCCCTTGAAGCAACAGGTTTCTTCTATCTAAGATGATTCCCGCTAGCATGCATCCATGTCCCGGTCCACTCGACTTATTCGAGCGATGACCTTCCGCACTACTTCAACACCCCAGGGAGCTTTCTCCACAGTTTAGTGATCATCTACATTGACGTCTTGTGCAGTCGTGCTAACGACCGTACCACAAAGTGGGGCCATCGCACTCACTCTTAGTACATCCACTGATTGTGGACGTTCCAAGATATTCATCAGATGGTTATCTGAGAATCAAGTGGCAGGTATCGTAACGGATCGATGCTGCCATATCACTCTTGGCTCATACTTTCTGAGCCAAGGTAATCCCAGGATGATATCAAATTTGTCATCCAGATCCAGTACGATGAAATCATCATCGTACTGTTCGCCCTCCAACGTGTAGTGAATTCCGACTACACGTTTCTTAACGGTAATCGATGCTCCTGTTGCAAGGCGCACCGTCATCCTCGTGAGGGGGATGTCGCGCTCAACGAACTTGAGCCTACGACCCTCTAGTGACTGGCGTCGAACAAAGTTGTTCGAAGCCCCACAGTCTACTAGGGCACGAAGCGACAAATCAATTGTCGCTTCCAAATTCAAGGTGATGAGCGAAACGTTATCACCAGGTGCAGAGACACACAATAATTGTGTATCTGGAGCAACTTTCGTCAAGAGATTTGAAAATTCTCTTCAGGTTGCTGGATCGGTAGGGCGCTCCGCCCCTACTGACCCCGACCATTTTTTGATGGTCCGTCTCGCTGTTGCGGCTTCGCAACAGCGCTGGACCCACACCCATTGCCCTTCTTGGCAAATGGTCGTCCATTTCGCTCAGTACTGTTTGGTACTGGGCGTGGAGAACTACACTCGTATGCGTAGTGCCCTAAATTCTGACAGCGATTGCACTTCTGCAATCGCTTGTTGATTGAAAAGAGAGGTCTCTCGCTCTCAACATAGCAGAGGTCCATTGGTTCTGGACCTCCGATCTCTTGTCGTCTCGGTGGATGATTATAGTTTGAGCTAGCATGAGCCTGTCTCATGATAAAGTCTTCCTGTTCCGCCGCTGATATCGCTTCTTCAAGCGTATTCGGCTCAAGGCGGAACAGGTGGCTCCTGACAGGCCCTTCGCGAGCCCTTGCATGAACACCGTAATCAACGTGTGTTCATGTACTGGGTTGGCAGTTATACTACTCGCTAGGAGTCGTATATGTTGTGCGTAAGCGTGCACATCACGCTTACTCTGCTTGAGTTTCAGGAGCTCTGAACGAGCCCTGAACTCAGCCCGTGGCGGCTCAAACGTTTGTCTGAGCCGGGAATTGAAGTCATCTAGCGACCTAAACACATTTGGGTCGCTACTCTCGAGTCCCAGGGACCAAGTTTTGGCACGCCCTGCCAAGTGGGTATGAGAAAATGTGAGTGTGCATTTGCTCATCTTCCACGCGACGAGCCCTTAAGGCTCTGTCGAGTTCGACAAACCAAAGTAACAGGGAGTCCTCCGGGGACTCCACTGTACTTGGAGATGCCAACCTTCGTGACCTCGGGACGACGCGCATGTGCCGTCCCGCCCACAGCAGCATGTAATTGCTGCCGTCTCAACAGCTCTGTCTGTTGAGCTCCGAGTTCTCTCAACTGCTCGGCCTGTACAGAGCCTTGCTGGTGAAGCAAGGCTACTTTCCCCCTTTCGGCGACAAGTTCATTTTGAATGAACTTGGCTATAGTGGCATGTTGTTGGTCTCTGTCTAGAGACTCCAACATGGCGCTAATGGCGAACTCGCCTACGGTAGAACTCATTCGTTCTACCGCACTCCATTCGATGTCACTCAAATGGGTAAACCCTTCACGCGTGGCGTGAAAGGTCTCTTCATCATCCAACATGTTCATGTTGGATGCTGTGGTCCTTGGAAAGACTACAAAGTGCTACCAGGTGTAACGGGGCACACCCTTGCGTGAACTTAACGCAAGGGTATCGGTGTCCCGACAGACGTACACAAGGCAAGCGAGGAAGCGTAGGTAGGGTAAAAGCAGAACTGTTACATTAATTTAATTAAGTCTTTTAACTACTGTCTCTCTGCTTGACTTAACTGAATTATGCTAATATAACTGGGTGTATGGTGACGTCTCGTCACCACTCATTGCGCGCATCCTGCGGCGATTGGTGGGTTGATATCGTCAAGATATCAACCAATGAGCAGACCCTTTGGTCGACCCTTCAATATTACCGCTTCGGTGATATTGTTTAAAGAATATTCAACTTCATATTCTTTATTGTCACTTTTCTTAAAGTGACAATTCCATGTAACGGGCTGCCCCGTTACACACAGGAGCTTCGGTTCAAGCGCACGCTTCTTCTAACCCCGTTCTAGTCTAGGAGGCCACGACCTTCCTTGATTCTGATGTCAATCATTGGTTGGAGACCTCTCGGGTTGAACAAAATGTCATACACCGATCATCTTGCGACAGGAGTCTGCGCGCAGGCGTTCTGATGTTCGAGTCCTAGTGCTACCTAGTATATAAAGTAGCAGTCACCCCGATAACTTTGTTGCCGGGTGACGGGATATAGTAGGTCGTAAGCGTACCTAAATATACCCCACTTTCTCACTCACTCATGCAGTGCACGGATCTCGAAGACAAGACCTTGCCGCAAATTACCGAGGGCGTCCTTGTCTGACATCGAACCTCGACCAAATATTGCCCACCTAATGGAAGCATGTAAGCAGGCAATCATGATTTGCTGCCGGTGGTGTAGCGTCATTAGATCTGCCAAACACGCTATGCACTGAATGGAACGAGTACTTCGGTGCAACAAACGCCATCAGAACGAAGCGTAGTTATTGAACGTGTTTTCAGCTCCAAATGCACATTTTCTCCAATGCTGCACCACTACTGATCAAGCATCGACCGGTGTTGTAGGGCATCCGGGAAGGCCCATTGTGGATATGGTACGCCAACTCGGTCGAAGCCATCCGAATAGGCTTCGGCTGCATTCGGACGTTGCTCGATCGAATCGTACTGTTTTGAACCCACCATCTACCGTCCGTCAACAGCATGAGCGTATTGGACTACGAATGATCACTTTGCTTTACTAGCGTATGACCGCTGTGTATTCCACTGATCGTCAAGCATTTAACTCCTCTAGGGTGTATTCACTGGTACAAGTCCTACTTCAGATGGACGCGTTGAACGGATTCACCAGTAATAGCTGACTCAACAACAGCTGTGGCTGCCACTTCGTTCGCTTGCCACTCATCGTGTCGTTCGATCACAATCGCAAGCACTTTCTGGTACGCGTTCCGACAAAGCAACGTCACGTACGACTGATCAGCACACGTTTTGTGGCCAACTTGGCGCGTGAGTATTCCAGTCGTACCTACGTCAAAGCACGCGGTGCCATTTTTGTTCGCAGGTTCATCGCGACCCTGTTACTTGGTGGAGGTGCTGTCTCCGACCAAGCGTTGACAGCATATGCTCGTATCCCGAGCGCATTGCCACGTTCGTTCTTCCTTCACTGCTGTTTGATGAACAATAGGCTGCTGGTGCTCAGCTGCTGCTTCCACGGCGCGAGGTAAAACCGCGGTTGTTGCATTGACAATATGGTAAACAACGGCTGCGTTACAATTGTGAGATGCTCACGTTGTGAGCACCTGGCAATGAGAGTCGAGAGCTTGAGTAAGCACGACCATCCGGTAGGCGCCTTCTCACTTCTACCCTACAGCTCACGATCCATCGGTATAACACCCTTTTACAAACTGCCACGCTTGACAACAACCACGTGGTAAGTTCGTGACGCACTGATTGCAAGTGTTCGCCAGCACCATAACATGCCGTCGTTTAGTGGTATGTTGCTAGTCCACGAAGTCACGTGTTCGTCGACTCCATTCACTCTAAGCAGCAGTAACGGTTGCAATAAACGGATGCTACGTGGATAATGTGGCATCGATTATCGCGATGCCACGCGACCGTTCTCGACACCCAGAAGGCACCAAAGCACTGACCATGGCGTTCGTAGTCACCGACCAAGAAACCAGCTTTGCTCGAAGCAAGCTCGTCTTTCACGCGTGCTGTCATTCACGGCATTCCTTTATTTGCTACATCCCCACGACTCTGTACAGTTTCCAACTGCTGCAACAATGAAGTCGTCCATGTCCGTCGTTTCCCTCACGACCGCAGCGATGTTGGTCACGTCCACTACCGGCACGTACTTCACTGGAGATGGCACTGCGTACACTCTCGGAGACACTAGCTCGGGCAACTGCAACATGATGTCGGCCCTCGACTTCGCCACCACCGACTATGCTGCCCTGAACAACGACCAGTGGAATGGGTTGGAGAACTGCGGTCGCTGTGCTGAAGTGACTTGCTCCGACTCCCGTTGTGCCGACAAGACAAAGTCTGTCGTGGTCCAGATCCTCGATCGGTGTCCGGAATGCAAACACGGCGACCTCGACCTCTCACCGTCTGTCTTCAAGACGCTTACAGGATCTCACCCGGCGCGGTATACGCTCAAGTGGAAGTTTGTGGACTGCCCGGTAGCTGGGAACGTGAAGTACTGCCTCAAAGGTGGCAGCAGCAGTTTCTGGATGGCTATCCAGCCGACAAACGTAGCTACGGGTATCACAAGTCTCGAGATCGATGGCAAGGCCACGAAGATGCTGGATGGAGCCTACTATTATCTTCTCGACGGCTCGGGTACGACCGCCGGAGACCTTTCCAACGTTACCGTGTCCATGACGGATCTGAATGGTGTCTCCATGGTAGACACGGTATCACTGAGTGCTGATTCGTGCACGGCGGGCGCCAGCCAGTTCCCATCGTCCGGAAGCGGAAGTCCGTCCAAGCCTCGAGCCGACACGCCGTCGACTACGCCTGCTCCGATCCGTGTACCGACTCCCGCGACTCGAAAGATGCCGCCAACGACGATACCGGCTGCACTTGCCCCGACCGCTGCACCGACTCAAGAGCAGCAAACGAATGCATCTATCTCCTCTCCACCGACGCCGATAGAGTCGACAGCGGCAGACGCTCCGTCCCCCGCAATGACGACGCAGCTCTTCAATTCTTCAGACGTAGTGCCAACTTCTCAGTATTCTACACGTGACAACGACGCCGCCACTCCCACCGATCAGCAGGACGTGGTGTCCTATCACAGCGGTGCAACCGGTGAAGATGTCAACACCCCTGCAGAAGGAAGTCATAATCTTCGACAGGACTCGAGCGTTGCAAAAGAGAACGACCAGATGCAGCATCAGCAGGAGAACGCGTACGCTGAGGAGACCGACATTTTGGGTCCTAGCGTCGTGCAGAGTCCGAGCTCGGACAATCAGTCCACGGAGACGGCGGAAGACCCGTACACCCCTCTGCCGTCGCCTTCAACGACGAACGGAGGCGAAGAGCAAACCAGCTTACAACATTCCAGTGTGCCAACTATCGACAGTGAGGACTTGACGGAAGTGCCGGATGCTTCCACTACAACTTCTCTGCCAGTCTTCTCCTCTGAATGGCACCAACCGAGCCCTACGACTGAAGACAGCGCCCTGCAGGGGTTGCGTTCCGAAGAGAAGGACAGCATGAGCTTGCGCTACGAGGAGGGCCCAACATATCGATCACAGCTGAGCCAGATGCATGTGGCAAAGGAAGACGGTAGTTCTGCCGCTCCGACCGTAGCGACCGCACCATCAACTACGGACTCAGCGTCCGATGATGGAAAGACTACCGTTGCGCAGGAGAGTCCTAACAGCGCCAGCAGTCCTGAGACCGACGTGATTCAGCACGACGAGGTCAGTGACGCCACTGTGGCTATCGGTAGCTCGGGCCCCGTGAACTGCCCTATGTAGCAAGCCACCAGCCAGTGTCGTCTCCGTGTTCTACTGTAGCGCTTTTGCATGGCCGCGAAGCCTTCGAAAGGATACATTCAATGGAAATAGAGTCAAGTATTGTTTTCACATGTAGCGAAAGTCGGCACGACGGGATGATGTTCGGTCGATGCCCACGGCCATACCTCAGCAAAGCGCTCGAGTGCGATCTTTCCGGTCCGCGCTCGTCGCAGCTGAAGAAGAAACGAGTCGCTCTGTCGCCCACAGCGACTGTGGCCTCGTGGCGGCTGTCACGTGCGCCACTCGTCTGTGCGAGAATTGCTCCGTCCGTGCAAAACGAGTCCTTTATCTCGCGCGTCCCGCACGGTCTCCGATGTCACGCTGTCGTGCGCTTTGGGTTCAGCAGCGACTGCCGATAGAGCGATCCCGCGTGCTCCAAGCGCGTTCGACAAGCAGCACGACAGCGCGTCTCGCACGTTCCATCGGAGCTCTCGTGGCCAGTCATGTCGTCGAGAAGCTTCGGCCGAGACGGACGAAGTCAGACGGTGAGCTCGCACGTCCCGCTGCATAGACACGGATGGAATCACGACCGGCACGTTTCCAGCAACGTGCATGTACCTGCTATCTCTTCAGCTTTGAGAGAGCCTGTGGCCACTATCTGTCTCATTCGAAAGGAGGCGACAGAAAAAGACGCCGACAGCTCGTGTTGGTTCCGTAGACAACAACGCTCTCGTCATGTGTGTGTGTGTCTGTGTCTGTGTCTGTGTCTGTGTCTGTGTCTGTGCAATTCCTGTGGATGCATCTCCCTCGCTAGAGGAGGAGTTTCATGATCATCTATTGACATATTTAATGTGGACAAGAGGTCTGAAAAATCCTGAGCCAGGATATGAGCGCCGGTCGCGGCAGCGGATCGTGGCTGACACCCGCGTAGGGCGGGTGTCCACGGGGCTCTTGAATCAGAAGTTCAAGACAGGCATGAAGTCGGGCCCCTCGTACGGCCGTAGCCGCGGCTCGATGCTCGCGTATTGCAATTGCCCGTAGCTGGCGAACACCGCGTGTCCAGTACATTTGGACACTTGCGGATGGAGTAGTCACGGCTCCTCTAAAGACCGCCGAGTTCCGCTCGGTCCACAAATGTTCTTGGCAGATGGAGCTTAATATGAACCAGATCCGTTCGAATTCTGTTGCTGCGGCGTCAGAGTCATCTTGAAAACGGCTTTGCAACCGCAAACTCAGCTGACGTGGAATGGGCGGGGCTTTGCGATTGGCGCAGTGCTGAAAGAAGGTGGAAAGAACTGCGTTCGTCGCACCCCCACCGGTCCAGTGTCCTATCAAGTGACACCAACACGCTTGCGCGATTGGGCACTCCCAGAAAATGTGCGCCGCTGTCTCTTTGCGTCCCCGGCAGTGCAGCACCGTACGACAACTGTTGTCCAGCGTGCGACCGGCATGGTATAGATTTAGCTGCTTTGTCGCGATACGATAGCATGTCCAGACTTGATACTCCGTTAGCCCGTTTGCGTGTTTCCAAACTTGGGAAGGCGTTTGATTTGATGCAGCTGACTGCCAACTATTCGATACCGCCTGCGCGTCATAGGCCTTCAACCAGGACTGGAGGCCAGGGTGCAGAAGGCGTTTATGAACGTGAAACGCTTGCTTCATAAGCGTTGTCCACACATCTACATTGGCCACCGTCTCTGGCACACTCCAAGGGAAACGGTGAAGCTCCGGGTGGGCATGAAACACCAAGGTACGATGGTACGAATGCTCCCAGTAGTTAGACACTTGCTGAGGCGACCCCCGTAATTCTGGTAAATTCCCGTCAATCGACCAATGGATTCCATTGACATCTTGGCGGAGGCGAATCGCCGAGTTCGCGGACTCGACAGGGTCCCGACAGGACCCGACAATTAAATCAGCTCGCACCCGGGACCATTTATAAGCGCGCCGAAACGGCGGTGGATGACGTAAGACGAGCCCGGGCTCTACCGGTCCCGCACCGACAGCAAGGTGGGGTGACGAGAGCAGGATCGAAGTCGCCCAACGTTGTAATTTACAATGCATATGCCGAGACGAAGTACCGCCGAGAGACGGGAACGTAAATTGAAATTCATGTGACCCCAGTCGCCGAATGCACAGACTGCGCAGTGAACATGGAGGTATCCGGGCATATTTGGCCCGCTCTAGGGGCTTGCCGTCTGGCCCTTGAATCCAAGGATTGCCATCCCAGTGAAAGCGGCCCCAGAAAGCGGCTAATGTATCCATCCGGTGATCAGCAACAGCGGGATGGTCAGGAAACGTTTGATGGTATGAAATTAACCATTCGTCACCGTCCCACTGACTGCTCGCCCCGACAGACATACGAGCGTGATGCGCGTCCAATCTGGCCCGAATCGACAGCACTTGTTCAGGGGAGGGTGCTAGGAGCCGTTCGAGATCCTGCGCCAGAGAGGAACGACCAGGTCCTCGCCTGATGTCAAACGTTGTTGAAGCAGACGGATGGAGCGCCGGGACGAGAGCCGATGTGGAACCTCCCACGCTATATGTCCAGCGCCGCCACGCTGTAAAATATTTGTCATGCGGCTGCGTTAGCCAACGCAACGCGTGCTTCGTCCGCTGAGTTTTGACGGCTACTTCGAACGAGGCCAGACCAACCCCGCCTGCCTTCTGGGGCGTAAAGAGGAGACCCGGGTTAATTTTGTGCCGACGTACGGCAGGCACAGAAGCGTGCGCCCACAGGAATTGGCGGTACAGCCGAGATATCTCCGTTCTCGCCCAGCTCGGCACATCGAAGACGGCCGCGGTGAACAGGATAGCCGGTAAAATGATCGCGTTAAGAATGAGGACACGATTTTGCACACTAGTCGCTACTTTCGCTGCAGTGAGAAGCCGCCGACGGATTTTCTGAAGCCGAAGCGCCCAGTTTCGATCGAATAATGCCCCTGTCCCCACTTCGTACCCCAGGTATCGCGTTGTCTCTCTGTGTTGTAAGACTGAGATGCCACCATACTGGTGTAGCCTGATAGCCGTGTTTAAAAAAATCAATTTGCTCTTGGCAGGCTGGGCATGAAGGCCCGAGAGTTGTCCAAATCTAGAGACTAGCTCCAACGCAGGCGCCAACTGATTGGCATGCTCAAGGAATATGGTGGAGTCGTCCACAAACGCGGAGAATGTATTTGCAGACCAATGAGATATACCTTCGACATCTGCATCAAATGCTGAGGGACATGGACGAACGCGCTTGTGTGCATTGAAAGGATGACGTTACGCGCACGACGATCGTACATGATAATTTGGTGACGAACGATGGACAGTTGTGAGCTCGAGCTCTTACGAGCAGCAAAAGTGATACACAAACAACAACTGTAAGGACACACAAGAGAATGTGGCAAGCAATGACAATTTCTTTACGATAACACTAAGTTAGCGTCCATTGTTACAACTACCAATTGGCTTGTGGATTCGCGCAGCGGGTGACGAAGGCTGGCCGGTACACTCTTGCCTGCCGCATCATACGAAGTGGAGACCCCGCATGATTGTGCGGCAATGAGCTGGTCAATCACATTTGTCCGGTAAGCCGCACATACTGATAGCAGCAATATTGTCATATCTTTTGTCCGTCTGTTCCCGGGTAATTCGAGGATACAGTTATAAAACTCGTCCAAGCCACGTCTGTAGGTCCGATCGGGGCACCCGTTCTTGCAATTCCCAGACGGTTCTATCATCGGCCAAGGCGCAAACGATGGCAGCGGTCAGGATGATAGCGAAGCTGGCGAGTTTGGTGTTCATGATGCTGGAAGGAGGGCTTGATCGATGTTCCGTGCTCGGTTTGGCGAAAAGCAGAATGAATATCGAGATCGCTGTGCTTGCGAGCGAAGGACGCCGCGCGCGCAGACGAGACCTCGCGACAGGTGGGGATGGCGATGCCACGTCACAACGGCACACGGTAGAGGGAGTGCGCCCTCTCCCTCGTGAGAGCCTTCCCAGCCGCACGGTATGTGCTAAGATTCTTTCAAAATTCCCAAATTTTCACACTTGAGGTCAAACCCGTCCTAACTTAACCCTTTTCGCGGACAGGCCCGTCAGCGAAATCCATCCTCTGGAAAGCCGAACTGGGTGCGGATGTGCCTCGTCAATGCTGCGCTCGCATCCGGTCGGCAGTTGGCGGCCAGAGACAGGTACTGCGTCCGGGTGCGTCCCCAGCGCCACGCGTCCTCGCTTTGCCAAAGCGATGTGTTAGGTCTTCATTGGCCACAAACGAGTCGTCACCTCGGGCTGGGCGTCCTAATTCGTCGCTCTGCACTTCGCTGCCGCATAAGGCAGCGGTGCACACAAAGCCCTTTCCGGGGCCAAACGTCTTGGTTTCAAACCGCAATCGAGGCTCATACATGTCAGTCATCGAAGCACAGATAAACATGACTTCAAACGCACAGGGGTGTCTCTATCTCTTTTATACACTGTTAGACGAAAGGCCTCATTGCGGGCTCCTGATTACAGGCAACCAAGTAGGGACGCCTGTCTACAAGTGGCACATTACGAGTGTTCTATTGCTGGCGCCTGATTGCTGACGCCTGAAGACGGGCACCCGATTGGAGCGATTTGATTGATTACGGGCACCTGGTTAAGGACGCCACATTGCGGGCGTCTGGTTGCAGACGCCTGATTGTGGGCATTTACGTCTGTTTCCCCTGATTACGGACGCACATCTTTGGCGGGAATCCTCCATTGCGGCATTCTGTATCCGGAAGAGTCTCGCTTGGGCATTCTTCTCTCGCGGCTTTTGGTGGTGCGGGAGTAGGGACGTGAACGTTTACGGTCGACGGCATTCTTGTGCCACGCGTCAACGCTACGGTATGCGCACACGTTCGATCGATCGAGGGGCAAGAGTTGTGGGGTACACAAGTCAGTGAGGTAGAATTCAGCACGAGGGGGGAAAATGGAAGGTTTATTTATATAAATAAAACCCGAATACATGTAATTGGTTAAATTCATTGAACCTCGCGTGTCTCTATTCTTCTGTC